GAACTGGATGTTTCAGACACAGAGAAACAGCATGAAGTTTTCAGGGAAACAAATAATTGAATATGGTGGGAGTTGGTGAGGCTGCAGATAGGTGGGTAGGTGCTGGTTCTGGAGGAACTGACATTGCCAAGCTGAGTGAGGGACCCAGACTTTGTTTAGAGGGTAATGGGGAACCACGGAAAAGGTAGGGTATAGAGATGCCATCTGATTGCGATCAAGGGAGGCTTTCAGGAAGAGGCAGATTTGGACGGACTTGGGCCTGGAAAGACAGAAGGAGGATTTGTATTGGAAGAGAAGAAGGGGAATATTTTCAAGGTATGGACAGAAGTGATAAGAATAAGAACAGATAGGAAGTCCTGATGTGGGCTCTGTGGATTTCCACCCATCCATCCATCCATCCATGAATACCTATTCAATACAGGGTCAGGTTGAGGGGGTGTGGGCTTTGTCCTAGGGGTACTGGAGAGCCATGGGAGGATTATGAGCAGGAGAGGGCCAGGGTTAGCTCTTTAGCCATGTGAGTGAAGAACTGAAGAGAAGATTGGAGGCTGGGAGGCCAGGGAGAAGGCTGGGGTGAGCGTGGGAGAGGACAGGGCTGTGGGGATGGAGAACAGGGGACAGGGCAGGGAATTGGACAGCAAGGACAGGGCTTGGGGACTGAGATACTGTGGGAGTAAAGGGGCAGCAGGGAGTGGGGACAGTGCCTGAGAGCTGGGCCCAGTGGAACAGCAAGCAGGAGCTGTGGCGATGGTGACGGGGTGTGGGATGGGCTTGGGCAGCGAGGGCTGGGGGTCCAGCCCATCTCCCACTCTTCACCCGTGGCTGTCCCTCCTCAGTACCAGAGGCACCTGTTTGTACATATCAGCCAGCACTGCCCCAGCCCCGGAGCGCCCCCCCTCGAGAGTGTGGACGTCCGGCAGATCTATGACAAATTCCCTGAGAAAAAGGGTGGTCTGCGGGAGCTGTATGATCGTGGGCCCCCCCACGCCTTCTTCCTGGTCAAGTTCTGGGTGAGTTCCACCACCAAAAACAAAAGTGCTCACAAGTCACGTGGCCTCCTAGCTAAGGCCACTGGCTCTAACGGAGAGTCTCAGGACTTACCAGGTCAGCCTGGGCCTTACCAGTCCTCATGGCTCAGAGTGTCAGCCCCCTCAGCAGCAAGGAACACCAAGGAGTTTTGGATGGGACCAGTGCAGGTGTGGAGACCTCCAGCCTCCCCAGGTCCCACTAGGCTTTGCCACACCCAGTCACGCAACTTATACGGCCCTGGGGATTTGCTTGTGACATTTCAGACTTCCCTGTGTCCCACCTGACCGCACCAAACCTTGTTGCTAAGGAATGGCTCCTTCCCCTTAGCAAATGAATCCTGGAGTGTTTGGTCTCTAAAGAGGGGACGAGGCTTTATTGGGTTTCACCAGACCCTGTTGCTAAGAATGTCTGGCCTTGAGGAAGGGACTGAAGGAGCTGGGGAGGCTTTACAGGCTTTGTAAAGTCCTGTATTTATTTAGCAGTCATTTATTGAGCACTTAATGTATATAAGCCCTGAGCCAGGTATGTAATTGTGAATAAGAGGGTTTCTTAGGCTTATTTGGTGTGGTGTCCAGTACAATGACTGATGCTATATATAGGGGTTCAATCAATATTTGAATGTTTAGGTGGTGCTAACTCTTGTGGTAACCAGGGCTGTGGAGGGATATACGTAGTCTTCGAGAAGGAAAGCCCGTAGCTTCCATGGTTATGAAGCATTCTGGTATGTGATGTGGCGGCCTGAGACGGCTCTGAGGATGTGCTGCTGAAGTTTTAGGCATTGTTAGGGCTTAAGACACGCCTCACAAGGTCCCAGGTCTGGAGAGCAACCCTTCAGAAGCCCAGTATGTGAAGGGCTGCAGGGGAGTGGCCGGGAAGGCCTTCTGTTTTCTTTAGCTTCACAAGGCCCTGTTGCCAGGGTGATGGATGGAGTCAGGCCTCTGAGGAGAGCACTAAACCACCCTGGAGAATGACCTGACCAAGTCAGCAACTACAGTTAGGAAAAGGAAGAGATATGCCTCCTGGGAAGGTGACCAAGGGGCTCAGACCAAAGATGTGATGGGGTCTTAGGCTTCATTAGGCTCCACTTGGCCTAATGGACTGTCTTCCAGTTGGCCACTGGGGTCATGAAGGGATCTGACACCTGAGAATTGGCTGAAAGGGCCTGGGAGAGTTTTCTAGAGAGGAGTCAGGCTTCCCCAGACCTCACCATGCCCCATTGCTAGGGAATAGCCACTTGTCTTAGCAACCAGGGTCAGGAAGGGCCCTGAGGGAGAGCCTCTGGTTGCTAGGGAATAGCTGCCTCCTTAGTAACCAGGCCCTTGGAAGGGGCTGAACACCTGAGTTGGGGGTTTCAGGAGAAAAAGTTGAATTCCAGGGCCTCCTTGGTGGGGAAGTTACTGAGGAGAGAGGGTCAGGACCATGGGGGACCCAGAAATGTTTAACACTGATGGAAGGAACGGTGGGTCTTCTCCAGAAACTGGCCCATGGAGAGGTGGGGACTTTAAATGTTGAGGAAAAGAGATGGGCAACTGCAGGGCAATGGGTGACACCAGGCCATGAAGCACAGTTCCCACTTTAGAAGAGTCCCCACTGTTGATAAGGGACACCCCCTCCAACTTACCTGTGCCTCCCCATCCCCAGGCGGACCTGAATTGGGGCCCGAGTGGCGAGGAGGTGGGGGCCGGCGGTAGCAGTGGTGGCTTCTATGGAGTGAGCAGCCAGTACGAGAGCCTGGAGCACATGACCCTCACCTGTTCCTCCAAGGTCTGCTCCTTTGGCAAGCAGGTGGTGGAGAAGGTGGAGGTGAGGCTGGAGGGGTGGAGCTCTGGGCGGGTGAGTGCCCAGCCACCTGCCACTTTGGGGGTGCAGACTAAATGGACTGGGAGCCACGACAGCTCAGGCCTTTGGGGGGTCTGCATGGTGGGTGGGGGGTGTCCTAACCCCTTTAGTGCACGGGCTTAGAGCTAATACGGAGTTCCAAAGTGATGTGTAGAGGTCACTTTGAGGGTTTAAAGATACTGTGTGGTACAGAGATTTACAGTCACTAAGATTCAAAAAGTTCTTGTGGATTTGGAGGAGTCCGTAGGGCAAGGAGGTTCAAGGGTCACACTTAGGGGTTGCGGAGGGCTTGAGGGGGCTTTCAAGTACAGAGGTCAAATAGACTTTGGAGATCTCATGGAGGGTCTTTGGAGGGTTTGAGGGTATCTGAGGGCCTGGAGGGTTTTGAGGGTTCAGAGCACAGCTTTGAGGGGCTGGAGAGGTCCCTAGTTCCAGGCTCAGTGAGCCTGAGCTGGGTACCCAAGGGCTCAGGTTCCCATCTTTGGTCACTGTGGATGGGGCAATGGGGGGAAGATGGCAGTGGGGAGTGGGTGTGGCATCTGAGAGGTGGCGTGGAGTGGGATTCAATTCCTGGGGTGACCCCTGTGTCTCTGAGTCACTGTCCTCTCCACTCCCTGTCCCCTGGTTCAGACGGAGCGTGCCCAGCTGGAGGACGGGAGGTTCGTGTACCGCCTACTGCGCTCACCCATGTGTGAGTACCTGGTGAATTTTCTGCACAAGCTGCGGCAGCTGCCTGAGCGCTATATGATGAACAGTGTCCTGGAGAACTTCACCATCCTCCAGGTGATGCGCTGGTGCTGGGCCTGAGCAGGGATCCTGATATGGAGGGGAGTGCCTGCAACAGACCCTCAGCCTAGGGACCCCTTTACCTGGGAAACTGACACAGTGGGGACCTCACACTTGACCCTTAGCTTAGGGGACCCGTTTACCCAGGGAACTGTTATGGTGGGGATTCCACAGCATTCTCATAAAAGGGAAATTGACCTGGAGGACACCCCACAGTGGATCTTCAGCCTAGGGGACCCCCTTCACAGGGAACCTAACCTTAGCCCAGGGAACATGATATGGTAGAATCTCCTTTAACTTTGGGAAGTATGATGTGGTGGGGACCCCCTTGACCCTATAATGTGATATAGCATCTGATGTGAGGCCCTTCCCTACTGACCCTGAGACCTAGAACCTGGCATGTTGGCATCCCATCTACCTGGGGGAACATGACATGGTGGGGATCCCTTTCTTGGGTATCCCATGATTCCTCGGGCAGGGCACAGTGTTCCCTGCCCTCCCTTCTAAGCATAAACCCCTTCTCCTGGCCTCCTTGGCAGGTGGTGACAAACAGAGACACCCAGGAACTGCTGCTCTGCACCGCCTATGTCTTCGAGGTCTCCACCAGTGAGCGGGGGGCCCAGCACCACATTTACCGCCTGGTCAGGGACTGAAGGGGGACCCCAGAAGTGGCTCACCCCCGGAATACCCTCCTCCCAGGAAGGACCTCCAGCTTTCCTCACGTTTCTTACTTGGCGGGGGGGTGGGGGTGGGTGGGCTGCTCCCTCTTAGGACCTTAAAAGCTCAGTGGTGAGTTGAATGGGCTGGGACTGAGGGGAAAGGATGGATCCTGATACTGGGACCTCACAGGGGTGTCTGAAAGGACAGATCACTCCAGAGCATTTGACACTGGGGACAGGAGTGAGACAACCGGTGGGACAGCACTTGTTTCTGTCTCTGACAGGCATCCTCCCCCTTCTCTGTTTTGGAGGTCTTGGAGGGCCCCAGTTACACATTGGCTTGTCCCTCTCTGTTTTTCAGCACCCCCCTTCTTCCCAATCTGCCTCTCCTTACCAGCCCCATCCCAGGACCCTGATACTGAATTTTGAAGGTTAACCCTTTCTGTGCAGGAGTAGAGCCAGGTGGGCCCTGGAAATATTTTTTTTTTTTAATATAACAAGAGATATTTATAAGCGGGTGTTAGGGTCGTGACTTTTTCTCAGCTGGGCAAGCAGTGGGGTGAGGCTTTTAAGTCTCATGTCCTCATGTCCTCCTCTAAATGAGCCGTGGGGCTAGACTGTGTTGCCTCCTTCTCCTCCTCTCCCCCCAAAGTGTGTTGGTTTGTGTTTTGACAGAGGATAAAGCTATTTTACCAAAACGCAGGGGATTTATTTGGCGTTTGGGCTAAAAATAATCTAGTGGGAGGTGGTAGGCCGACAGAAGAGGCAAAGAAATGAGGTGTCTTTAGGGGCAGGAAGCTGGTGGCCGGAAACCCCAGGTCCCCCGGGAGAGGTGACAACAGCGGGTCAGGCAGACCTCTGGGTCCCCGAGGGGAATGAGGGCTCAATGGCTGGGACCAGCTGGGGATTAAACAAATATTTACAGGCGACAGGGAACTAAATGCCCAGGGCACTTGAGGGGGGCGGGGCAGGGCTTCGGGAAGGTCGGGGCCTATCGGTACCGAGCTAGCCGATCGTAGACGTGGTCCAGGTTTCTGCACAGGAATATGGAGAGCGTCATGAAGCTGAGCTATAGAGAAAGGAGACGCGGTCAGAGAGGTCGAGGGGGTGCCGGGGAGAGTTGGGGGTCCCCAGGGAAAAAACCTAGGGGGTGGGGCCAGGGGAAGAAAATAAGGGCCCGCGAGTTGGGCGGGGCTGCGTCATGGGAGGTGTGGAGAAGGGAGTAGGTAGGAAATGGGCGGGACTAGAGGGAGAACTGGGCCTGGTCGTGAAAGACTGTCAGGGACGGGAGTTTGGAGAATATGGCGGAATTAAGGGTAAAAGGGCTAGAGGTCATTGGGTAGGACACCAAAGGGCGGGCCGGGGAGGGGTGGGAGCGGAGTTGAAGCAGGAAGGAATAGGGTGGGGTAGAGGGAATCCAGCTGCGTCTAGCATAGGTCTAGAGTCTGAGAAGCCGCGTGATCCGGAGAAAGCCCAAAGTCCTTTATTCCGGAGGCTTATCTATCTCGCCCTCCGTCTCGGCCTCTAATTCCATCTCGGCCTCCATCTCCGCGCCTACACTCCCGGTCTCAGGTTGTTCCTCGTCTTGATCCCAAAGGGGCCAGGGCCCCAGAGCCATGGGCAGCTTACCCTGCGGGGCCTTGTCCCCCCAGTTAGGGCAGGCACCGCCATGCCCCAGCCAACCCACAGACTGCCTCTACGCCCGCTGCTGCTCAGCACACCGTAGCGCCTGCCGCTGCCATCGGTGCTCGGGCCGGGCCCGCAGTTCGAACCTGCGGCTGGCGTTCCCGGTGGAGCATGCTGCGTGGTAGTAGCAGGCTCAGCCCCGCCACACTCACCTGAGGGGAAAGGGGAGGGATATTGCGGCCAATAGCAGGAGGATGATATGCCAAGGAGGACCAATGGGAGCCTCGCGAGGAAGGGTGGGAACGCCTGCTCCCTCCGCGCAACCAATCAGGGCTCACAGAGGCTAGGTCTCCTCCCTCGTCCCAGGTGGAGCCTCAGGAGGGCCTGGATTGGCTGACGCTGTACCACGCATGAGCCTTTCCCTGAGAGAATGGTTGGACGCGCAATTTGGGGCGGGGCCACCTAGACCAATCGCGAGTGGGGGCGGGACCAGATTACCTCAAGTAGACCCACGCCGAGACAAATGCCCACTATGGAGATGAGGTTGTTGTGCAACCACTTCTGGAGGCTCCGTGCGCAGCCCTGGGGATATAGGGGAGAGGTTACAGGTAGGGTTCTTTGGGGGATTCGCCCTCAAGCCTGGGCCCACTGTTCTCCTCCGCCCAGCCCTAACCCTTCTTTCAGGTACCGCCCCCCTTCCCTAGTTACCAGGGTTCTCTAGTCTCTCCGCTTCGGACGGTCCAAGCCTTCCCCCTCCCCAGGCATCAGCGTTCCAGATCCTGCCCTTTTGCCTAGGCCTTTTCTTTAGGCCCCGCCCTTCAAAAGACCCCGCCCCTTGGAGCTCTGCCCCTCTTGTAGTACCTCCCTTTCTCGTAGCTCCACCCTGTCAGGCCCCTCCCACGTCCTGCGCTCCAAATCCTCCCCACCTCACGGTAGATGTAGCTGTTCGCGGGGACCAAGCAAATGTCTGCATTGTGTCGGGGCCGCGCCAGTTGTCCGAGCCCGCTGAACTGAGGGAAGGAGATCTTATCGAAGATTGCGGAGTCGTTGGTCGCCGATGAGTTATAGCAGGAGCAGGGCACGCGATGCCCTCTCGATTCGTTGCTCCTCAGGCTGGGGATACGGAGCCAGTCCTGAGGAGAGTTCCAGCCGCAGCAGCGCAGCTAGGAGAGGGACAAGAGTCAGAGGAACAGGGGCTGGAGGGATGCAAGATGCTTTGGGGGATCAGGGGACTGGGTGATGGGTATGAGGTCATACTGGGGAGTAGAGGGCTAAGTGGTGGGTGCAGGGTGGGGGACTGTGAGCTGGGCTGGGGTCATGGCAGGGCCAGGAGACATTAGGCGAACATGAGGTTGGGAGAGACAAGTCACGGGGGTAGGGGTCATGGGGCCCGGGGGAGGAACTGCAGAATCGTGCTGTGGACTGAAGAGTGGATAGGCAGTACAATTCGGCCTCAGGGAGGGGACAAATGGTTGGGAGGGCGGGGTCATGTGAGTGACCAGGGAATGGAGTCTCACTTGGGCCGGGTCCCTTGGGAACCAGAGTCACTATTGGGCAGGGAGTGGGGTCACGCTAGGGCCTTGGGGCTGAGGGTGGAGTCTTGTCGAGGCGGGGGGCGGAGCCACTGCAGGAGCTGGGAGCTGGGGCACTGGGCCACGTCGCCGCGGCTGGAGGTGGAGTAGGTGAGTAGGGTTACTTTAGGGTCCTAGAGCTGGGGGCTCGGGTCGCGTCGGGGCCAAGTCTCTTCCAGGCAGTGGGCGGAGCCACGTCAGAGTCCCAGAGCTAGAGGGAGGGATCCTGGTGGGTGGGGGCCTCATGCACCTGAAACTGCACGTAGTCCCAGCTCTCCTCCGCAGCCGTCTCCTCCGGGTGGGCGCGGTAGGTTTGGATCGTCTTCAGCACGACGTTCTCCACTTTCCGCTCCAGCTGATAGGCCGAGAGTGAGGATGAACCACCACCTGCCTCCCCACCGCCATCTGCTCCAACCCACTCCAGCCACTCCGTGGCTGTCTTAGCCTCAGGTAGTCCCTGAGCATCTTCAGGTCGGCCTCGGTTTTTCGCTGAATGGCTAGCTATGTCTCTATCCCTCAAAATCTCTCTCTGCCTGTTTCTATCGTCTGTCTTTCCGTTTCTCCACTATCTCCCATGATCTCAATCGGTTTCTGTCTCTTTCTCGGAGCCTTCTGTTTCTCTGAGGTTTGTTTGTTTGTTTGTTTGTTTTCCTGCTTCCTTTTGGATTTGTGTCTCTCTTCCTCTGTCCGTGTCGGTGAGTCTCTCTGGCCCTCCCTGTCTCTAGCTCCTTCTCTGTGTCTCTCTGCTAGTCTCTGCATCTGTCTCTGTCTTTCCGTATCTCTGTTTCTTTCTGTCTTCTCTATCTCTGTTATTTCTCTTTGTCTATGTCAGCCCCTGTCTGCCTTTGTTTCTGTCTCTTTCTACCACCCACTAGCTGGGGTTGGCGGGGGGAGAAGGGGAACTCACCTGGACCTTCTGAGTGGAGATGAGGATTCCCAGGGTGATCTGTGTGGCAAACAGGAGCAGCAGTGTCCCAAAATACTGGGGAGAGGCAGAGTGGAGAGGTCAGGCTGAATCCCTCCGCAGGATGAAGGAGCTGCCAGGGCTATTTGAGGGCAAGATGTGAATGAGCCTAGGGATGGAGGGGGGAGGGGCACTCACCAGGCCCAGGAGGCAGCGGAACTCCTTCAGGGCCCCCACACAGCCCAGGAGGGCAAGGCCCATGGTGAGGATTCCTGAGATGGCCAGGGCCTTGGACCAGATCTGCAAGGGCATGAAGGACAAGCCTGGGGGAGGTGAGAGGCAGTGACGTTTGGCTCCATGTGCACAGCTCCAGGCAGCCCCATTCCATACCCACACACCACCCAAGCGGGGGACAGTAACCTGGGGGACCTCTCCCTGGGCTCCTGGCATCCTTTTCTCTGGGTCTCTGTCCCTGTCCCACCCTGAATCTCTCTATCCCTTTTCTTCTGGGATTCTCTCCACCTCTCTCTGTGGGTCTTGTCCCTCTCTCTCTTTGGAGCTCTGTTCCCTTCTTTCTAGATCTCTGTCCCTCTTTCTTCCTGGTCTCTGTCTTTCCCTCTTGTTCTCAGTCTCTCTTTCCTCCGTCAGCTCCTACCCACCCCCAATAGTTTCAGCCCCATCACTTGTTCTGTGACATTGGATCAGCCATCTAAACCTCCCTGAGACCTAGGGAATAATGTTATCTATTTCCTAGAGTTGTTTTGAGCAACACATGGGAGGCATGTGTTCAACTGGTCCTCTACACAGGGCGAACACATTATATATGAGCCATTAGGATTTTGACTATTACCCCATTGTTATTTTCCTACAATTATTATTAGTGTTGATCTGTTCTTTTACTTCCTTGCTGTGTGACATCCAGTAAGTGTCTTCCCCTCTCTGAGCCTCAAGAGAGGGAAGATTTATGGGAGAATCTGATGAGCCTCTGCCCAAGATCTGACACCTAGGAAGTGTCTGAGAAATGGCCATTATTATTACTGGTATGCACAACTCATTTGCTAGAGGAAGAAGCTGAGGCTCGGAGAGTTACGGCAGTAGCAAGTGGTGGAGCAAAGCCTGCGATCAGAACAGGGAGTTGGGCACCATGGGCCTCCCTGGGTTGAGGGAGACCACAGGAGGTCCTTGGAAGGGAGCCCAGTTCATGCCTGCTCCAGGAAGGCCCACCCAGACTGCCCCAGCTCCCTTACCCACAAAGGACACGAAGCTGGTCTTGTCGATGAGTATCCAGATGCCGAAGCAGAAAATAAGGCTGCCTAGGACCTGGGGAGAGGAGAGGAGAGCATGGCCGGTGGGTGAAGGGGGGTTTGAGATTGGGCAGCTGCGGCAGGGGCTGGGGCCTGGGCTGGGGAGCCGGGAGGCAACTCACGAAGAAGAAGAGGTTGAAAACGAAGAGGAGGTACTTGATGAGGCTGAGGCAGCTGTCCTGGGCTGACATCTTCTCCTAGAGGTGTGAGAGAACAGTGGGAGGGACAGGACAGAAGGGGTGGTGGCAGTAGGGGGACGCAGGCCTGAGAGAGAGATAGGGAGAGGCCGAGAGAGAAGAGAAAGGAAGAACTCAGAGAAAGAGGAAGTTCCAGGGGCAGAGCCCCACCCCCTCCCTTTACATGCGAGGTGACTTTCTTCTGTGTCTCTGTCCCCATCTCCCTCACCTGCCCCACTGGGATGCACACACCAGTACCTGAGGGGCCTTGCAATTGGTGGGCACCGAGGACACACCAGGCAGTTCTTCCCAGGTCTCCATGGCTCAGGCTGGGGGACGCGCAGGGAATCCTGATCTACTTGCACCCACCTACTCTGGGCACCAGGACCCCAGGCCGGCCCTGGACAGCAGCCAACCTCACAGACACTGACCTCACCGCCTGCAAAGCTCTGCCATCTCTGCATTCATCTCTGTCCCTGCTTCCTGGCCCTCCCAGTTTCTTGTCCTCCTCTCTCTCGGTCTCTGTTCTTTTCTCTCTGGATCTTTATCCTCTCTTTACCTCTGGGTCTCTGTCCCCTTCCGCCCCAGGTCTCTATCCTTTCCCTGTCTGGTTTCTGGCCCCTTATCTATGTGCCTGCCCTTCTTTCTCTGTTTATCTACCCCCTTCCCCCACCTTCCGGACATTGCCCCTCTCTCGGAGTCTGCATCCTGTTCTTGGCAACAAGTGTAGACCAAGGTCCTCCCACGTGCTGGGCCAGGGGCTGCGCACCTGGGGGAAGTGAAAGTGCTGCAGGTCCCAAGTGGGAAGGTCCCCAGTGTGAGGGGGTGACTTGGCGGTACCAGAACACCCAGAGCGGAAGCTGAGCCTCGGGCAGTACTTCCTGCTTCTGCAGTGAGGCCCCTAGAGGGGCAGGCCCCACGGGAGTCAGGATTGAGCCCAGGACCTTGGCCATTAGATCCGGGTGTGCAGTACCTGATTGTCTCTAGGCCCGAGCCCCGCAGCCAGCAGCCTTTGAGGTCTCCCCTGATGCCCTGCAGGCTCCTCAATTTGTCAAGTCCTAAACGCCTCATGGATTTTTAACACCATGGATGCTCCTACCATCTTGACATCCACCCAGGCCCTGGAAAACCAGACCTTCTTAGAGACCCAGTACCCTCTCTTTCTTCTGAGCGATCTCATCCACTTTTTTTTTTAAGTCTCCAAATGTAATTATTTGTTATTAATGTCATCAAAAATCAATTCATATTAATAGTATTCTGATTTTTGACTCGGGGCTTTCTTTTTTCCTCCAACTTTACTGAGGAATAACTGACAAGTATAATTGTACATATTTAAAGTGTACAGAATGATGATTTTATATGTATATATGTACATACGTATATACATATATGTATGTAGTGGAATGATTGCCGGCTCAAGCTAATTAACATATTCATCACTTCACATAGTAAACTTAGTGAGAACACTCAAGATCTACTCTCAGCAACTTTCCAGCACACAAAACTGTATTATTAACTATAATTGTCATGCTGTACGTTAGATCTTCTGATCAGAACTTATTCCTCTTATAACTGAATGTTTATACTCTTAGACCTGTGTCTCCCCATTTTCCCCACTCCCCAGCCCCTGGCAACCACCATTCTACAATCTGTTTCTGTTTCTATGAAATTGGCCTTTAAAATTTTTTTTTAAAAAAAAATTAAAAAAAAAAAAAGATTTTACATGGTAAAATGGTACCAGTATTTTTCTTTCTCTGGCTTCTTTCACCTAGCAGAATGCCACCTCCCCCTCCCCCTCCCCCCACTGCAGGTTCATCCATGTTGTCCCAAATGGCAGAATTTTCTTTTTTATGGCTGAATAATATTCCATTGTGATATATATATTAAAGTTAGGGTTAGGGATGTATCACATTTTCTTGATCTATTCATCTGTTGAAGGACATTTGCTTCCATATCTTGGCTATTGTGAATAATGCTGCAATGAACATGAGTGAAAAGATATTTCTTCAAGATACTGACTTCATTTCCTTTGGATATATACCCAGGAGTGGCATTGCTGGAGCATACGGTGCTTCTATTTTTAATTTTTTGAGGAACCTCCATACTGTTTTCCATAGTGGCTGCACCAATTTATACATTCCCACAAGAGTGCACAATGGTTCCTTTTTCTTCACATCCTCACCAACACTTGTTATCTCTTGTCCTTTTGATAATAGCCATCCTAACAGTTATGAGGTGGAATCTCATGGTTTTGATTTGCATTTCCCTCATGATTAGTGACGCTGAACACCTTTTCATACCTCTGTTGGCCACATGTATGTCTTCTTTGGAAAAAAATGTCTATTCAGGTCCTTTGCCCATTTTCAAATTGAGTTATTTGCTTTTTTACTGTTGAGTTATATGAGTTCTTTATGTAATTTGAATATTAACCCTTTATCAGGTATATGGTTTGCAAATATTTTCTCACATTCTTCATTGAAAAGGTTGCCCTTTCAATATATTGATTGTTTCCTCTGCTATGTAGAAGCTCTTTTGTTTCATGTAATCTCACTTGTTTATTTTAGCTTTTGTTTCCTGTGCTTTTGGTGTCTTAGCCAATAAACTATTGCCAAGACCAATGTGGTAAAACTCAAGGAGCTGTTTCCCTATGTTTTTCTTCTAGGAGTTTTACAGTTACAGGTTTTACATTTAAGTCTTTAATCCTTTTCAAGTTAATTTTTGTGAATGGTGTACAATAGTGGTTCAGTTTCATTCTTTTGCATGTGCTTATACAGTTTTCCCATTTATTGAAGAGACTGTCCTTTTCCCACTGTGTGTTCTTGGCACTCTTCTCAAAAATTAGTTGACTGTATATGCATGGGTGTATTTCTGGACTCTCTATTATGTTTCACTGGTTATGTACCTGTTTTTATACTAGTACCATATTGCTTTGATCACTATAACTTTGTAATATAGTTTGAAATTAGGAAGTATGATATCGCCAACCTTGTTCTTCTTTCTGAGGAGTGCTTTGGCTATTCAGGGTCTTTCATAGTTCCATACAAATTTTAGGACAGTTTTTTCCTATTTCTGTGAAAATTGGAATTTTGATAGGGATTACATTGACTCTGTAGACTGCTTTGGGTACTATGGGCATTTTCACAATATTAATTCTTTCAATCCAAGAACATGGGATATCTTTCTATTTATTTGTGTATTCCTCAATTTCTTTTCTCAATGTCTTATAGTTTTCAGTGTACAGGTCTTTTGCCTCCTTGGTTAAATTTATTCCTAAGTGTTTTATTTTTGATACAATTATAAATGGAATTGCTTTCTTAAGTTTTTTTTAGATAGTTTGTTGTTAGAGTATAGAAATGGAGCTGACTTTTTTTTTGGCTGCATTTGGTCTTCATTGCTGCTTGCAGACTTTCTCTAGTTGTGGTGAGCGTGGGCTACTTTTCGTTGCAGTGCGCGTGCTTCTCACTGTGGTGGCTTCTTTTGTTGTGGAGCACAGGCCCTAGAGAGTGCATGCTTCAGTAGTTGTGGCGTGCAGGCTCAGTAGTTGTGGTGCATGGGCTTAGTTGCTCTGTGGCATGTGGGATCTTCCTGGACAGGGATCAAACCCATGTCCCCTGCATTGGCAGGCGGATTCTTTTTTTTTTTTTTTTTTTTGCAGTATGCGGGCCTCTAACTGCTGTGGCCTCTCCCATTGCGGAGCACAGGCTCCGGACGCGCAGGCTCAGCGGCCTTGGCTCACAGGCCCAGCCCCTCCGCGGCATGTGGTATCTTCCCAGACCGGGGCACGAACCCGTGTCCCCTGCATCTGCAGGCAGACTCTCAATCACTGCGCCACCAGGGAAGCCCAGCAGGCGGATTCTTAACCACTGTGCCACCAGGGAAGTCTGCAGCTGACTTTTGTATGTTGATTTTGTATCCTGCAACTTTACTGAATTCATTTGTTAGTCAGGTTTTTGATGTGTCTTTAGGGTTTTCTACATAAGATCACGTTGTCTGCAAACAGATAATTTTCTTCCTCTTGATTTGGATAAGTTTTATTTCTTTTTCTTGCCTAATTATTGTGGCTAAGGACTTCCAGTACTATGCTGAATAGAAATGATAAGAGTAGGCATTTTTGTATTATTCCTGATCTTAGAGGAAAGGCTTTTTTTTTTTTTTTTTTTTTGGTACGCGGGCCTCTCACTGTTGTGGCCTCTCCGGTTGCAGAGCACAGGCTCCGGACGCGCAGGCTCAGCGGCCATGGCTCACAGGCCCAGCCGCTCCGCGGCATGTGGGATCCTCCCGGACCGGGGCACGAACCCGTGTCCCCTGCATTGGCAGGCAGACTCCCAACCACCGCGCCACCAGGGAAGCCCTAGAGGAAAGGCTTTTAACTTTTCACCTTCATTATGTTGAGTTACATTCCTTCTATACCTAATTTGTTGAGAATTTTTATCATGAAAGGATGTTGAATTTTGTCAAGTGCTTTTCTGCATCTAATGAAGTGATCATATGCTTTTTATCCTTCATTCTGTTAATGTGGCATATCACATGTGTTGACTGCCATGTGTTGAACCATGCTTGCATCCCAGGGATACATCACACTAAATCATGGTGTATGATCCTTGTGATGTGATGTTGAATTCAATTTGCTAGTATTTTATTGAGGATTTTTGCATCTACGTTCATCAAGGATATTGGCCTATAATTTTCTTTTCTTGCAGTGTCCTTGTCTGGCTTTGATATCAGGGTAATGCTGGTCTCATAAAATGAGTTTGGAAGTGTTCCTTCCTCCTCAACTTTTGGGAGGTGTCTGAGAATGATTGGTATTGATTCTTCTTTAAATGTTTGGTAGAATTCACACATAAAGTTATCTGGTCCTGGGCTTTTATTTGTTGGGAGATTTTTGATTATTGACCCAATCTCCTTGCTTATTATTGGTCTGTTCAGATTTACTTTATGGTTCAGTCTTGGTAAGTTGTATGTTTCTAGTAATTTATTCATTTTTTCTAAATTATCTAATTTGTTGGTGTATAATTGCTCATAGTAGTCTCTTATGATCCTTTGTATTTCTGTAGTATCATTTGTTATGTCTCCTCTTTCATTTATAATTTTATTAATTGAGCCGTTTATCTTTTTTCTTAGTCTAGCTAAAGGTTTTTCAATTTTTGCTCATCTTGTCAAAAAACCCACTCTTAGTTTCATTCATCTATTTTGTTTCTTTCTAGTCTCTATTTCATTTATTTCTGGTCTAATCATTATTTCCTTCCTTCTGCTACCTGTGGGCTTATTTCTTCTTTTTCTAGTTCCTTGAGGTGTAAGTTTAGAACAGAGATGCCACAATCCTCAACAAAATGTAAACAAACTGAATTGTCTCTTTTCCATTCTTTTTTTTCTCCTCTGACTGGATAATGTCAAAATATCTGTCTTCAAGTTCACAGATTCTTTATTCCTTGGTGGGCCAACCCCTGGGTGATGTCCTCATTTCCTCTCTCCCTCTTTCTCATATGGCCCATCAGTCCCTAAGCCAATCCCTTCCTCCCCCTGATTGTCTACTCTGTCCCCTCCTCTCTGTCCTCGTGGCTCGGGCTGACTCAGGACTTTTGTTCTCCCACCTGGACCCAGACATCAGGCCCTTCCCTGGCCTTATTCTCTCCCCTCCAGTCGATTCCTTACATGGCTCCAAAAGAGACTTTTTGAAGCTCATACCTAGGTTACACAGCCCT